GAGTCTGGAAGGCATCCTTGTATTCTTTCAAAAGGTCAGCCATTCTTCTCCCATTAGACTTGATAATCCTTTTCTCTGATCTTTGTTCCTTCTCTCTTCCAGTTCTCTCCCTAGACTAGATTTGACAAGGGCGGGGAATACCATTCTATTCTATAAATAACAAGAAGAAAGTAGCAATTCCGTTTCCAATGGTTTGAGCTTGGAAGCAACCTACTATTTATCGATAGGCGAGAACAGACAGCTATTTATTGGCAGCTTCGCCTATCTATTCTATTATGGCCGGCTTGGAGATAGAAGAGGAAGACCATCATCCCTGGGTACGATCATAGCTTGATTCATTCGTTGAACCTTGGGGATAACCATTAGCATTGAGGTCAATCACCACACCACCTATATATGAAATACGACATTCCATTCCTTCCGCGAGAGTGCATGGTCAACACACACCTAACCTAAAGCGCCTACGTTCCGCTTGCAGCCAATCCAACCACAACCTAACTAAACTAGCACGAGATTCTACAACCGAAACTACTGGTAGTCTTGAGGGGACTCCTCCTATAATAGTTAGCAGTACTGAACAAGCGAGTCATCGGTCCGAAGAAAGAAAAGGAACTCGCTTAACTCGCTAGGCCTTCAGAACAAAGAAAGGTGATTCTGTTCATGCTTCAGACGATCTGGCTAATTATATATACTACTCTAATAGTCGAAACGAGACGAAAGGCGAACCTATAGAGAGGCCTGTTTTAGCGCGTTTACAAAGGTAACCGGTTGGTTGGTTAGGTGGACTTTGACTTTTGAAACAGTTGGACCGAGAATGAAAAACGTCTGCTAACGCCCTTTGGCTAAGATCTTTTTTAGATCAGCAGCAACGAATGTCTTGTTTCTATCTTGTATCTATGAAGAAAGATTTCTCCCCGCGTTCAGACCCTGAATGCCATACCTTGCTGAAGGCGATTCTCTCGCGAATCGCGCATAGTTCCGTTTGCCCGAGGAATGTCTGTGATCCCCTCGGTATAGTGATGGATTTCATGGCCGACGTCTAACCGGCACGAATACGCCGACATGAAAGGAGTTCCCTGCGAAGCATTTTTCTTTCGTCCTCGGACGTTCTGTTCGATTCCGGCGCTTGCGTTCTCATGTCCGGAACCCTCGCGATTGATTGGGAAAAAGAGCGAAAGCGAGAAAGATGGATTGTTATCCGAAATCGATAGGAATTCCTCGGGGATTGCCTGCCTTCTAATAGATGTTCTGTCTTTCAAACATCCAATCCCATGCTAATAAGAAAAACGAGCGATTGCTAGTCAGCTTTCATTTTTGGAAATAGATAGAAAGGGGTAGGGGCTGAGGCTCTTCAGGCTTTACAACTTGCTTCAATTAGGGAATGGCATGGATCAATGCGGTTCTGCAGCGTCCTCCAACTTGTTGTCTGCTCCCCTTCACTTTCTTTGCTGGACAAGAAGATGCGAATTGCAAAGGCCTTCCCACCACGTGAAGTTCAAACCTCGCCGGAGAGAGAGAAGCGAATTGAAACCCGGTCTCAAATCCCTTCGCAATCGAAGGTGAAAGCGGGAAAAAGACGACTCAACCCTTTTTTTCTTGTCAGCTTGTTAGGAGTAGGGGCTTTCTCGCCATACGCACCCAACCATTACACCAATTGTGGCTGGCCCAACAGTTTCCAGAATGTCGTTGTCAGTTGATCCGGCGAGGCATCCGCCTATGAATACGCGCATTGGAGCTCTTCGCTCGATCGGGTCGCTTGTAAACCGCTGTTTCGTCGGGCAGTGGCTTATTTCTAACACCCCCCTTACTAGATCAAACAAATAAAGCTCCATTGAATGAATAAACTTCTCCCTCTCGAACAAGGGTTAGTCAATGGTTCGTTGCTAAGCCTATCTCAGTGATGTTCAAAACCGTGAAAATCGTGCTAATTTCATTCATTCATGTATGGTAGGGGCGGAAGGTATTTCCTTCTTGATTTTTCTTTGTTAAAGACCTATCTATCATTGAACTAACTGATATCTAATCTGAGAATCAGGGGATTAGTGAGTTTGGGCTTGTGTTCTGGCTGTGCAAGATGGTGGAGATGCGGTTGTGCTTTGCCGTAGTCTTTCTATTTGATTTTTGTGGTTGTGTGTTTCGAGATTGCCGCGAGGCTACCTGATTATGCGAGAATCCCTAGTTTTCCTCTCTGAGGTTGATTGAATCTCTCCTTATCCGATTGTAGGTCTGCTTCACATGGATCCCCCGCCTCGTTTGAGTGCTGCTTTTTTCTGATCTTGATCCGGGTTCCTAAATTTCTCATTGGAATTTCTTTCATTATCTTGAACTTGATAGTGAAGGTTTCAGAATGGGCTTTTTCTTCTTCTTTTCTTTTTCGGTATGCCGCTCCGCGATCAAGGAGCGAAAGAATCAACAAGTGGGCTGTGATGATGTCAGAATTTGCACCTATTTGTATCTATTTAGTGATCAGTCTGCTAGTTTCTTTGATCCCACTCGGTCTTCCTTTTCCATTTGCTTCCAATAGTTCAACCTATCCAGAGAAATTGTCGGCCTATGAATGTGGTTTCGATCCTTCCGGTGATGCTAGAAGTCGTTTCGATATACGATTTTATCTTGTTTCCATTTTATTTATTATCCTTGATCCGGAAGTCACCTTTTCTTTTCCTTGGGCAGTACCTCTCAACAAGATTGATCTGTTTGGATCTTGGTCCATGATGACCTTTTTATTTATTTTGACGATTGGATTTCTCTATGAATGGAAAAGGGGTGCTTTGGATCGGGAGTAATCACTAGTGAGAGGGCAAAAAGAAAGAGGGGGGAAGAACAAAGGAAAGAGCGATGCCTACATTAAATCAATTGATTCGTCGTCATGGTAGAGAAGAAAAACGGCGCACGAATCGTACTCGAGCTTCGGATCAATGTCCCCAAAAGCAAGGAGTACGCCCCCGTCTTTCAACGAGAACACCGAAAAAACCTAATTCAGCTCCACGTAAGATAGCCAAAGTACGGTTGAGCAATCGACATGATATATTTGCTCACATTCCGGGCGAAGGTCATAATTTGCAGGAACATTCTATGGTCTTAATAAGAGGAGGTAGAGTGAAAGATTCGCCAGGTGTGAAATCCCATTGTATTCGAGGAGTCAAGGATTTGCTGGGAATTCAGGATCGAAGAAGAGGAAGATCTAAATATGGTGCAGAAAAACCTAAATCGATATGAATGGAAGATGCCTCTTTCACTTCTTTTTCTCGGTCAGTCGAGGGAAAGGGAACAACCAACCACAATGTTACGCCCCAAAATCGAACTATACGGAGCCCTTCCGAATGACCTCTCATGGAGTCTGCTACACTAGCCAAGAAAGAGTGTATTAGACTCTATTCGCCCGTGGAGGTGAGTGGAGGAAGAATCAAAAAAGAGAAAGGTATTGCTACTAAGAAATAGTTGCTCGTTCATAAATGAAGTTGACCACTTCTTCTTAGTCTTGCTACACTACACGACACGAGGGGTGAAGTTGAAGCAGACACGGTCTTCAGTCGACTGAACAAGTGATGAACCATATGGAAATAAGAAAAAAAGGAGAGAAGGGTCTCGCCCAGGTGGCTCCTGCAAGGTAAGGTAACGACTTCAAACTCAAACAAAGAACGTTCTTCTCCAAGGCGCATGAGTCAAAGAAAATGTTGTATCTATCTAATGCAAGACCCGTCGATAAGCTAAGGCTACGAGCGGATCATTAGGTCTGCCCGGTTGGGCTCAACCTCAGAGAATTGAGTGAACAGGAAAGGGAGGACGCCGGCTAATCTCTTCCAAGGAGTATCGGGGGGTGGAACGGCAAATGAACCTTTTTGAGGCTCGGGCCGAAGAGCTAAAGCAAAAGGCCGTCGAGCTCGTTCATTCTCGTTCCATTCTAGTGGATGAAGAGTCAGATGTGGGGCTGGCAATCAATCTTCTCTTGGAGAAGAAGAGAGAGAGGCGACCTCAGATTCCTCCCCAGGGCGATGAAGGTGATTGAGAATGGCAAAAGCCGCTTTTAGAAAGCCTTCCTCCCTCCTTGAACTCAAAGGATTAAACCCGAACGCTACCTGCGGACGATTCCACAGCGTAGAGCTTCAATCAATAGGCCATTTCCGTCGGATTTTCTCCTCAGCAATGCCCACTCCCATGCCTTTCTTGGTTGGACCAACCCAACCGGCTATTTCCGACAAGTCTTTCTTCATTTTTAGAGCAAGAAGCGGAACTACAGGGATGAAATGAAAAGTGTTTCTTACGATTACGCCCAACAGCCCACTTGAGCAATTTGCCATTCTCCCATTGATTCCTATGAATATAAAAAACTTTTATTTCTCATTCACAAATCCCTCTTTCTTTATGCTGCTAACTCTCAGTTTGGTCCTACTTCTCGTTTATTTTGTTACTAAAAACGGAGGAGGAAACTCAGTACCAAATGCTTGGCAATCCTTGGTAGAGCTTATTTATGATTTCGTGCCGAACCTGGTAAACGAACAAATAGGTGGTCTTTCCGGATCCGAAAATGTGAAACAAAAGTTTTTCCCTCGCATCTCGGTCACTTTGACTTTTTCGTTATTTCGTAATCCCCAGGGTATGTTACCTTATAGCTTCACAGTTACAAGTCATTTTCTCATTACTTTGGGTCTCTCATTTTCTCTTTTTATTGGTATTACTATAGTGGGATTTCAAAGAAATGGGCTTCATTTTTTAAGTTTCTCATTACCCGTTGGAGTCCCACTGCCATTAGCACCTTTTTTAGTACTCCTTGAGCTAATCCCTCATTGTTTTCGCGCATTAAGCTCAGGAATACGGTTATTTGCTAATATGATGGCCGGTCATAGTTCAGTAAAGATTTTAAGTGGGTCCGCTTGGACTATGCTATGTATGAATAATATTTTCTATTTCATAGGAGATCCTAGTCCTTTATTTATAGTTCTTGCATTAACCGGTTTGGAATTAGGTGTAGCTATTATCTAATAAAGCAGCCTCTATACCTTTTTTTCTTTCTTCTTCTGCAGCACCCTGTTCAAATCATCAATTCTATCAGTTCCTGGTTCGTTGGTACTACCTCCATTCAATCTTCGGTCACAACATAGGTCGCGGATTCCCTTTGCTTTATGATCCGGAATCCATATACCCTTTTCTCAACAATGAATGAACAAATAGAGTAGAGGAATGCTTGTAGAATGAAGCTTAGCGAGATAGATTTTGCTGCATATGACACACCCCCAGTCAGTCTAGGCTTAAGAATAGTGATGATAGTTCAGTCAGTTGTAGAAGAAAATGTACCAATGAACTTTTATTCGTACTTTATGTCGCTAACCCGTGGCGGACAGAGCTAACAGGTGACAGTAAAGAAAGGTATCTCCACATTTCGACCTATAACGAGAGTAAAGAAAAGAGAACGAGTGAAAGAATAACTCAACAAGAACATCTGGTAATAGAGGGGCAGCCGGAGCTCGCCTGTCAAGCTGCTAATGAATTGACTCCCCATTCACCTGTCGGTCGGTTTCACCCATTGCCTGAACAGTAAAAGATCAATAGTCCTTCCTATTAAATCAATACTCCTGAGCGGGAAGGAAAGAAAGAGAAGCGAATGAACAGTAACCGTAAGGAAGAAATTCAGGGACAGGAAGTCAGTCAAGCCGAAACCAGAAGAAATTCAGGAGTTAGCTGCTTTATTTACAGTCGAGTAAATTCATTAATTAGATTAGCTGCTTGCTTTTCAAGACTCAACCTCTACTCTATTGCCTGAACTACTGAACTTGATTAAAGAGTAAAAGAGTCATACTCCTTCCTATTAAATCAATACTCCTTTACCTGATGGAACACTAAGAAGAATCAACAATAATAACAATAATAATAATAATAATAATAATAATAATAATAATAATAATAATAATAATAATAATAATAATAATAATAATGCAATTAATAATAATAATAATAATGCAATTAATAATAATAATAATAATAATAATAATAATAATAATAATAATAATGCAATTAATAATAATAATAATAATGCAATTAATAATAATAATAATAATAATAATAATAATAATAATAATGCAATTAATAATAATAATAATAATAACGATAATAATTATTATTATATAGATTGCATTATTTTATATTTATTGTTGTTAAATCATATATTCATAATCGAAGGTTGCAAGCGGACATGAAAAATTAGGAAAATAAATGCCCACATGTTGCAGTCTGTACAGCAACAAACAGCTAAACACATTCCACGTGGCCTTCTGTCACTTCTCTACCTTCCACATGAATGGGCCCCACTCCCCATTTCCCACTATATAAAACTCGACGCCAATCCAATTCCCTCACCGCCACCGCCACCGCCACCGCCGCCGCAAAACATTCCAACCAAAATGGTGGGTGTTTTCCGGCGCTCTCTATCATTCCCAAACAAGCCGCCGGCCATTTCCCGTCAAACAAAGCCCCGAATTTCCCGGCACCTTCGATCCCTCAGTTTACCTTGCAGATCCCACCCATTGATCTCATCTCTCAAGGAAGAAATCGCCAATCTCAAATCCTGGTCGTCCACCGACCACCGCGACGCCGACTGGCTCTGCCGTGGACTTACCACCGTAAAACTCGTGCACGACTATCTCGACGACATCCTCCAACTCCCACAATCCCGGGAGTCGATATGTCGGCTGTCGAAATGGGTGGAGAATGTTCTAGAAGACTTCCTCCGTTTCATCGACGCTTACGGAATCTTCCAGAGCCTCATCCTGGGGTTCAGAGAGGAGCACGTGGCAGCCCATGTGGCCATCAGGAGAAAAGACAAAACCAAATTGGATTTATACACAAAAGCCCGAAAACGTATGGCGAAAGAAACGACCCAGTTGGTATCGGTGGTCCGGGGAGTGAAGGCGGCGGAGGGGATGGCGGTTTCCGAGGAGGAGCTGGAGGCGGCGATTAAGGATGTGATGGAAGTGACGGGGATGGTTTCGGTGGCGGTTTTTGAGGGAATTGGGGCGTCGTTGGGGTCACGGAGGAATCGGTGGACGGGGAAGACGAAGAAGGTTGAGAATGGGATATTGGAGTTTATGGAAGTGAGTAAAAATGGTGAGGTGGATGAATTGACGGTGAGGATTGAAAAGATGAGGGATCTGGAGGAAGGGATTCGGTGCATTGAGAGTAGCACGGAGAAACTGTTTCGGAGGTTGATTGATACTAGAGTTTCTATACTAAATGCCATCTCGCATTAACATAATAATTATGAGATTAAGAAAAAAAAGATACATAAATATTATTTTTGTTACATACATATTATATACGGTTGGGTTAATATCTATTAATTCGAAAGGAAGCTTCAAATACTTGAGATATAAAAGAGTTTATTAGTGTAATATAGTGATAATTGAATTATGATCAAAGCAATCAAAGTTGGGATGTTTGTGTTTATTACTTCCTTCCATATCCCATACATTGATTTTCTCATAGGTTTCATTTTCTTAGTTCCTTAAGGTCTTGTATTCCCATAGGTTGGGCATGAGGGGTGTTTTCGTCTTTCTTCCCCACCCGAATCATGGTTTATGCCTCCAAATTCGTTCTAATTGCTTTGAAACCTTGCATAGTCAATAGGTCTTATATAAATTTTCAAGAAAATCACTCAAAATCACTTACCGATATAATGAGGGTATTTCTGTCATTTTATCCATGTATTTGGTTTAAGTCTTAAACATGCTTCTATGTCTTTCAAACTTTACCTATGTGATTTTTGTTGAAGTGAGCTTGCTCGAGCTTCCCTCTTCAACCATGGCAATGGTAGCGAGCATGGATTCATCATCGATAAGATTCATTCTCAAATGTAGCCCCGACATCATCTTTACCCTTTTTGGTTGATGGCTGATAGTCTGAATGTTATTGAGTTGGACCTCGTTACTACTAAACACTTCGCAAGGGGCATAGGAATAACTTTGTGTTCAAGCAGAAAAACTATCTCTAACACAGTGTCGAAGATATCTATCTTGACAATCATAAAATCAGTTTGTCTCATCCAAGTCCATATCTTGATCAGAGTTCTCTTTACAACCCTTGGGGCAGGTAAGGGTGTAAAATTGATAGCTTTCATCTGTCCCATATCTCTATGTCAAAGAATGTTCAAGCATTTTGCTTCCGTCTTTGTCATGAAATTGTGGGTGGTTCTAAAGTCAACAATAGTGTTACTGGTCGATTTGTGGTTGACCTAGGCTTTGATGTACATTAGACCGCATCCCACTAGCTCTTCTAGCTCACCCACTCTCTTTTGGAGGAAAAATAAATACTTTAGGGCCCGCATGCAGGGGTTTTCCACACTTTTGACTAGCGATGTTTCAATTTACGCAGTCTCGTACTCATCTTCTGAGCTCATTCCAAATTTTGGAAGACAAAGAATGTTGCATTTTGGGGGTATTCGATTTCTCAGTGGACTCCCTTACATATGAAGTAAAACAAGGGGCCTTGGCTTTGACTGTGAGTGTTATGGCTGTGAGGTCTCCGTCATAGAGTTCTACCTCTTTGGGACTCGCATTCCCCTCCTCGGCCTTCAAGTATGTCACTTCCCCTACCTTTGTCGATAATTCTTATTTCCGCTACTTGCGAAAGACTGATTCCACCTTATATCTTGGGGTTGATCGATGCTAAGATCAAACAATTGTTTGACAGTAGCATAGGTTGTGGAAAGGTCTTAAACTTTTTGTTTGTAGAGTTTGGTCTTCGCCCACGACTTCTCAGCCCCTCAATAAAATTAAAGACCTTGTCTTTCTCAGACATATCACAAATATTTAACATAAGCCTAGAAAACTACTTAATGTAGTCTCAAATATTTTGTCAATATGCTTCAACTCTCTCAACTTCCATCTTGTAATAATCTCGACATTCTTTGAGAAAAAATAAGAGTGGAGTTCTTGTTTTGAGCTCTCCCAAGTGTCCACAATACATTGACCATCTTAAATGTCCATGTCCTTGGATCTCCACCACAACTTGCATCGTTAACTAGATGCATTATTACCAATGTGACCTTTGTTTCTTCTACTACGGTATTTGTGACTCAAAAGTACTATTCGAGGTTAAAGATAAAGTTCCCTAGAGCCTTAACATCTTGAACCCCATAGAAGGACTTAGGATCCAGAACCTTTTATCTTGTTGAATTGGACTACACCTCACCTGAGTTTTGGTTCCCCACCTTCTCATGGTGAGGTTAAGTATGATAGCTTAGATTTGCCACTTAAGTCCGGACTATTCCAAGGGATCCTCAGACATTTTAGAAACCATCTAAATGACCGTTTGTTGAGCATTGTCTAATCCCTCGATGTGTTCTTCCATCCAGACAACAGAGCTCATCGAGCTATCCCAATGTTTGAAGCCACTAATTGTTGTGGCTTTGTCTTCTAGTGCCTCAACCTTAACTATTAATTCACGGATAAGCATTGCCTCAAGGCAACTTGCCATCTCGTCGATCTTGTCAACTTTAGTGGCAATCTCATTCATGCGAGACACCAAAGGCCACATTCCATAAAGAAAATCATTCAGATAGAGTAACTGATCTTTGTTCTTTACAAATCAATCAACCTGGGATTTGGTCCAGTTTTTTTGCAACATACATGTTTTTGTACTACAATTCTAGGAGCCGACTCGTTTCTGATAGCACTTGTCACAATTGCACTCTTGTGACAGTGAGACAATGATTGTGCGACACTTGTTCTAACCCAACAAGTATAAAAGTTGAACTTTGTGGACAACTTTGATGTAAGATTGAGTATTGAGCCACATTTGAGAGAAATATTTTAAAAAACACTAGCGAGGAAATGCGTTGAAATAATTTGAAAAACATTAATGTTATGAGCTAAAAGAAAATAAGCAACAACCACGATTTTGATAGCATATAACTCGGATGAGAAGAATTGACTACTAATCACATTCGCTATAGTACATTTTGAAACATTTTAGTTCCAACACGTGTAAACATAATTTTGGTGATTGATCATACACCCCCATATTGACACACCAAAAATTGTAAAGGCCTATCTAGCATGGAAGCAAGTAAAATGGGATTGGAACGGGCATGCGACCATGAACAACACATCCTAGACAAACATGATTAGGACATCCATCACGTGGCCATATGCTACACACCTTCAACAAGCAGGATGGTGACATAGAGCTTGCGTAGAATAGTACTATGCATCCAAACCCACCAAAAATGAAATTAGTTCTCAAAACTATTGACATAATTTTAGGTTCTATTAAATATAAAACCATAGTTACATGTGGTTGCATTTCCTGACTCTAGCAATGACCCATGTACAGATTAACCATTATTAATAAGCTTTTAGGTGTACGGATGATGACTTATAATTTATTTTGC